TGAGCGTTGCGTCCAGTCATCGCAAAGGTCAGGGTTCCGATTCTCCGATGTCGTATCACCCACTGAGTATGTTGCACAACTACGAGTCACACGACTGTACCATTGTAAACCGCTTTTGGATATGTGGAGTGACATCATTAATGTTGTAGACTGTGTTCTGACTGCTTTTAAAATTTTAGCAGGAACTAAATAGGCTGCTCCTTAACAGCAAGCCTCAATAAAAAGAAGCGCAATGTGGTCATCTTTGTTCTGGCATTTAACAGTATTTTAGAGGCCTAAGAGCTAACAAAAGAATTATACTTCCATTTAGATCAAGGATTACATGGGTGCGGAAATGATATTGTTGATATTCGCGATGGTAGTGATGGTGATGATAATGATGAAGACTGTGATGATGATGGAGATAGTAATCGTAATGATGATGATGATGCTGATGATAACTTTGGTGATAAAGAAGGAGGTATGTGTTTTACATTTCACTACACCAGTGTCGATATATTTAAATTCATACTTGGCTCCAAGGCTTAGGAGAATGAAACAAAAGAAATCGTCTTGAAGCTCAGCAATGAATAATACATTTCTTTTGTTTTATTCCCCTGAGTTTCGGAACCAAGTATGAATTTTGATATTATCCAAATTGTTCAATTCAATTTTAGTCTGGGACTAGAAGATTAATTGTCCATGATAAGACGGTACAGGATAACGAGTAGTGCAAACAAAAGGATACTTACTTTTAGATGAATCTTAGCGGTAAGGCAGTTATGATGGTAATATTGACGATGTTGATGATGAAGAGGATTACAAGCATGACGATGACGGAGATAATGATGGTCATGACGATGATGGTAGTGATGCTCCATATAACAGATTTTTTGTTAAAAAGGAGGAAAAGAAACAGGTTTGTTTGTCTGTTGTTGTTGTTTTTTTTTTTTTACAATATTCAAATAATTCGCATGTCTGATTCACAGCTTTTCAAAAGAAAAATGCTAATAGAATTGATGATTAATCTTCTGGGATTCCACTGCTTTTTGAGGGACAAGACATATAAAGAGACAACGAGACACACTGGAACGAGTCTCGATTCCACGGTTTCNTTTTTTTTTTACAATATTCAAATAATTCGCATGTCTGATTCACAGCTTTTCAAAAGAAAAATGCTAATAGAATTGATGATTAATCTTCTGGGATTCCACTGCTTTTTGAGGGACAAGACATATAAAGAGACAACGAGACACACTGGAACGAGTCTCGATTCCACGGTTTCCATTGGAGTGCCGAATACGTAATCGAGAGGTCATCGAGACGGTTTTTATCGAGTACTTTACGATACGTTGCCCAGAAACGATGATGCAATGCAACATATGTAAATTCCGGACGCCAGTACATCGGAGAGGCCAAACGTCAACTTAATGAACGATTTGGAGAACACTGCCGATCCATCTTGAACCACCGTCAACTCAGCGATCCCACTCCTGCCTCCTTACATTTTAATCAAGTTGAACATTCTATCAACGACGTCATTTTAATTCCACTTGAACTCATACGCAGGAACCGTGACGCAGTGAGAAAGGCTGGAGAAGCTCACTTAATACACAAAGGGAACACATTATCCCCTCGAGAAATAAATAGACGTGACGAATCTCACTCATATAAGATACTTACCTAGTCTCCTACACTAATAACAATCCATTGTTTCTATTGTCATATTTTCAAACTCTTATTTGTAACGAACTTTTAGTTTCATCTTCATTTTTCTCTTACCCTGAAGAAGGTTTGCTTTCAAACCGAAATATTGGGCAAATTTGTTTAGATATATATGTTTTGTTTTATTCTTTTGTTTACTTATTCATCGCCTTCAGCTTGCCGTTAGGATCAGTTTGTCGTTTCATATTTTTGTATTCCTGAGATATCTGCCTGTGACGGCCTTGAAGAATCCCCTCAAATTGTTTACACTAGAGTGGCCTGCAGCCCGGCTCCGGGCGAAAAACCCTGTGGCCACGTGCACGTGTAAATGAATTCAGACAGATACCGTATTTCTTCGAATAAGCGCCTAACCTCGAATTAGCTCCTACCTCGAATAAGTGCCCATCCTAAAGGCAGAAAAACTTAATAAGCGCCCACCAACATCCCACCCTCCTTCCACGCAAACTCAAATAAATACGGTATATTGGTTCACAAATAACAAGGATAGCCAAAATGGAGGCGATTTCAGTGAGGAAATCAAGAAGGTTAGGTGTAGATATGTGATATGGTTTATGCAAAATCTTATTTAACTTGGTATACTTACATAATTTTTGTGTCTACGCAGAACACTCAAGTAGTATTACAAGGAGTGCTTACAAAAGAGTCAGAGGAAAAACAGGCTGAAGTACATGAGCAAGTTGAAACGTGTGGGGGGCATGTGGATTTTTAACATATTTTTATATATTTTGAAAACTGTAATTACTGTATTTGAGAACTACTTTGAAAATAGGTACCAAATTATATTTTTATAATCAATCAATCAATCAATCAATCAATCAATCAATAATCAATAATCTATAATATGCTTTTGTCGATGTACATAGTTAATATTACACTTTAGGAAATTTAATTACAGTACAAGATACACTAGCTAATTAAAACCCAACACCAACGACCCGAGGTTGGGAGGCAGAAGAATAGATGAACATAAAGTCGCGATAGTCGCTCCAGTATTGTGAAACTGTTTCCTTTGTAATCCATCAGTGTTCTTGCATGCCTATGATATTTAAGGGCAAGTTCTGGGCCCCGCGTAACAGTTGATCTAGCTTTCCGGTTTGGTAAAGATTCCGAACGTTAATCATGGAGAAGTGTATTCCGCGGAGTAGCACGCAGACGGGATGTGAATTTCTCACAGACCGGGGGGGGGAGGGGGATTCCTTAGACTTAAGAAACATAGGACGGTTGGGCCAGAGGTTCTCCAAACGTCGTGGTGGTGTTTGTAGGACGTTGTTACGAACTATGGTCAGCAGGAAACATACTCGGCATTCAGAGGTGTCGGAACCAGGCTCCTTTAAAGATAAAGAGGAGGTTAACCTTCAGCATTGACCCTTTTAGCCGCCTCTTACGACACGCAGTGTTGCGTTGGCAGTATTCTTCCCCGGATGGGCTGCACTGCGCACCACATTCTTTGCAATAGGGCAGACGTTTCTTTGAAAGAAAATACGTGGCAGGTATAAGACATATATATATATATATTTTTTATTTTTAAGCAAAGCACTTTCCGCATGAATGTAATTGGATACCTCAGTGAGACGTGCCTGATCCTATTGTGACAACTTTCAATCAATTTTAACCTCTTTTTCGTACCTTAACTCCCAGTCCTAAAATTACCCACATTGTGTGTGTTCAATAAACATCCAAAAGATACAACAAAGAAGTATGGCTGGCTTTATTTGCATTGCACGTATAATTATCTTCGATGTTGAAAAGGCCTTGCTTCGTGCAGTTCTGACCCCAGTCTTTCACTTCCAAAAGCTGTTTGACGAAAGAGAGTCTGAGATAGGAGGGAAGGGGGCTCGGGACGAGACTTCTCTGGTCTTTCACAATCCCACCGTGCTTTGCGCTCAAATGTTGCTTTTTGTGACGAAAGCTGCTCAAAAGTTGCTCCAAAAAACAATACATTTTTATTACCCTATTCATTTGCTTGATCTCAAGCAAAAACATGCAAATTGTAAAATAAAATTAAGAATTTCTAGGCATTTTGTTCAATTTTGGGGCGTTGCTAAATAACTTTAAATTTGTCTTCAATTAAAACCAAAAGATTTATGAGTAAATACTACGCAACAATATCAGAAGCCCATGGCCTCATAGTCATGGGCTCCTGTCAATATCAAAATCAGTCTCGTAAAAATTCTAGTATGAGCCAATAAAATTGTTGAATGACCTTCTACATCTGAGACAGGCTTCGTCCGTCAATTTGAATTTTCATTTCAAAACCGCTGACCTTAGCTAAATAGCAGCCCGGCTGCACGCATCTTGCGCCTATGAGCTGCCACAGGGAGGAAGATCTGACAGATCTGGCTCCTTTTTCACAAGAAATTCATGAATTGTCTACTAAAACATTAATTGTGAAAGTTTTAAGAAAGGCCAATTTAAGCACGACAGGCACGCAGTTCCGATTTCTCAGAATTGCTAGAAAACTAGAGGAATTGCGCAGAATCCAAAAAGTTGCTCAAAATACGAGAAGTTTCTAAGAAGTTGCCAAGCAACTTGTGGAAAGCCCTAATAAAACTCGTCCCTAAAGAAATCGAAGAAAACGTGGAGCTCTCGCGCTCGCGAGGCGCGCACTGCGGAGCAACATGGGTAAGAAAATTTGGTTATCTATGAATCCAAGAAATTTTGGTTCTCGCAAAATCACCCGTTCGTACGTCCACCCCTTCATGTAACTCGGGGTGAAATTTTGTATTTCAAGTACCCGCGCGTTTTGGCGGTAAATCGCATAGCAACCCCGACTTTAAAAGATAATAAATAACAACAAAACCGATTCTTTCTTTCGACTTAATTTTAGTGTCTACATTGACTTGGATAACAGAGAAAGGGCTAGAGCTAGAGATAAGAAACAAAGGAGACCAATTTTGCTGGAAGAATAACGTGAAAATTCTATAGCGGCAGTAAGAAAATGAGAAATGCTAGCGGCCACCAAGGTGAAAATGAGTGGCAGCGAAAAAAAGGGAAGAGGAACACATACAACATTTGCCCCATAAAACGTGTAACTAGGAAGTTTCTGGCCGAGTTTAACGTTGTGGTCGTGCAAAACAACGGCAAAAAAATGTATGAAAAAGTGTGCTGCACGCGCAAAGTTTTTTTTTTTTTGCTAATTAGACCAACTGATTTGTTTTGGGTGTTTTCGTTCCCTTCGCCGCTTATCATTAAATGATTTTATATTTTGTTTGAGTAAACTTTTAACTAAAGATATTAACGAGAGCTTCACTTTTAGCCCTGGCTTAATCTTTATATTTTTCTTTCATTTTATATGAGATTTTGATTTTTACCTAAGTTTGGTAGAAACTTCTAAAAGCCTCAACAAAGAGGTATGGCAGGTTTCATTTGCATTGCAGTTATTAACACTGTGAGTACGATGGCGAAAAAAACCTTGCCTCGTGCACCAGCGGCCCAGGCTCGATGCATAAATTACCGCGAGTTTCGATACTGTTTTGCATATTACGAACGAATAAGACTGTGTTTGGGAAATTCAATATAGTTGTTAAAACGTCGAAATTTAGTTACGTAAACTTACGTAAACTTGGGCCTGTTGTTGCTTTTTCTGTGTAACCTGGGCTCAATTCATGGCAATTTTATAGCGTTTTGAGGGTCGTTGTTTGTTCGGTGTTGTTTTCCTGCATAAAGCGAAGCAAGCCAGGTGACTGGGTGCAGTCTCAACTCACAGGAAACTCGATAACTACGTGTTGCGAGATGAAAGGGAAGGGGGCTGGGACGAGTCTTCTTTCTCTTTTCACAATCCCACCGTGCCTTGCGCTTAACATAGTCGGAGAGACCTCTTGGTAAGAGAGAGTAAGATTACCACTTCGACCGTCAGCCTTTTATTAAAGCGAAAGTCCGGGTTGGCACCGCTGTACATTTTCAGTAAACGTGAGTATGATTTCAGAATCCTTTTGCTTCGCCAGCTAGTGATTTTTCCTATGATTGTGCTCACAATAACCCGAACTGTCTCGCTAGAATAACCACACTTATATGTGTTAGCTGAAAAGAATTGTTTTGAAACTATACGATAACTTTACTCCTAGGCTGCTTCTGACACGCGCCTTGAAAGTTCTAGTTACCAGAGTCAACAGTAAATTTATTTTGTTTCTTACATTTCTTTAATGGGGTTAAAATAAAGGCTACGAGTCCTCAGCTAGCTCTTCAGCTTTTATGTTCGCAAGATTTAGATCATTTTTTGCGGCTACTGAAGAAGGAGTGAAAATGATCAGTAACATTTAGTTTATTCAGTGGCTCAGTTACGCTGTAATCAGAGTTGTAACAAAGTCTACGACTCCTTAGCTTCTACGTTCGTGATAAGAATGATCAGTGATAGGATCATGGGAAAGAGATCTGAAAATATATTGGCCCGGTCACAGTTGTGTCGCAATAAACGCGTGGATGCGTAGTTGCCATTTTAGGACAGAGTCAGCCGTGATCGTGTGCAAATTTCATCCAAGTTTGCTTTTAACCGCTTTGCTGATTTTGTGATTGTTGCGAGATTATAGAAATTTTTGCGCGGACTAGAATGTCGTTAAGAGATTTTTTCTTACTTCGGGAGACAACGGTGGCTGGTTAAAGATTTGTTTAAGCTTATGTTGCTGTTGAATGATGTGCTGGTGTTTCATGAGATTCTTTTTGAGATTCAGGGTGGCCGGATTGTAGATAGTAACAAACAATAAAATATCTTTTGTTTGTTTTGCTTTATTGCAAAGAGCCTCTTTTCTGTCGGCGAACTTAACTTCAGTCAGTATTTTCTTGAACGAGCGTAAAGGATAGCCTCTTTGACAGAGTTTGTGTCCAGTCTCGTTTGCTTTGTTCAAAGTTTTCTCTGACTGAGTTATGCAGATTAAAGGGTGGCAAGATGAGAAGTGTGTATATTGAAAAGTTTCGGTGTGCTTGAAATGTGTTTGAATTGAAGGGCGAGGTGCTTACAAAACCTCAGTATCAAGAAAAAAACCCGTTCAGATGACATTTCACACCGAAGTAAACTTGATTGTAGGGTTGAACGTCAAATGGAGAATGATCCTCGCAGTTGTGAACTCAATTTATGCAATTGCGCAAAAAGCCTTAAAAAATTCGGGACTTCGACGGGATTTGAACCAGTGACCGGTGCGATGCTCTAACCAACTGAGCTATGAATCCACTGATGTTGGGAGCTAGTCAGCAATTGTGTGTTCTTGTGTTCCCGTGATGAGATGAATGTGATGTATATAAAATAAATTATATAACAACTGCGGAAATAAAATTGGAACGCAATTTATGCAATTGCGTAAGAAGCCTAGCGAAGTCAAAAAAAAAAAACTCTTCCACACCAAAGGTTTCGAGGGGTTTAGCCATTAATAGTCGTTTTTCTAGGTCTGCCATAAAAATAACAGAGAAAGCTACTGTTGTCTTAGTTCTCATAGCGACGCCATGAGTTTGAATGAAGTGTCGTTCGTTGAACGTGATGCTACGAATTCTCTTCAAGTATGAGCCGCAAAAGTTCCTGTAAATCATTTGGGGGAGTTCAGTGCCAAATTATGCTCATAGTGATCTTCGAAGTGACGGCAAATAACGTCAATCCCTTCTGTTTGAGGGATGTTTGTGTAAAGGGAGCAGCTAAAAGCACATGGTCGGAGATTTGCGTGCTTTCAATAAAGTTGATGAAATCGGTGGTGTCTTGAAGATGTAACTCCTGTTTTTGTTGAATATTGGATCCTTTGTCAGTTGCTTTTTATAGCTTTTTTCGAAGAGTTCAGGAATTAGGATTCTGTATATGCTACATGAAAAGAGCAGACTCAAGTTTACGGCACTAGCTCTCTTCGTGAGTTGTAAGTAACTGACTAAGGATCCAATATTTAGGTTCCGAAACCGATCTTGCAGTCATAGCTAAGCAGAGTGTTACGTTTTTCTTGGAAGTTAACCATGTGACACACTTAATATACAGATTTAGCCAGGGCTAAAAGCGAGGCTCCCATTAATATATTTATAATTTAAATCAAACAATAAACTTGTATTCCACAATTCTGTTAACTTTAGAGCACATAACACATTCATGTGACTTTTGAGGGAAAGGCTGAGTGATTTTAGAGAAAAATAATTTGCAAACAGCCTAAGAGTGAACAAAATCTTACATCAAGTTGATAGCCTCACATGTACACCCAAAAAATAGCAATCATCTTCGATCACATTTAGGAGCCATAATGGCTCTTGATCACCGTAAGATTAATTAGGCCTGGAAAAAAAATCAGGCCGAATTTTTTTGCGTTCGACACGTTTACTTTACAAAATCTTGCCAACAAATCCGGGTGCGTGTAAACCAACCTTTTATACCATTTATACATCACATCTGAGGTGAAACAGTACTATGAGGTACTGTTTTTATCATACAGACCTCGGACAGAATGCAGTATTTCACAATTTTGCAACACAAATTGCACTCATTCAATATTTAGGACGATCGAAGCGCGCGTGGGCTTTTTAAACCGTTAAAAACATTTCCAAAATCATATACTGCCAGCCGGTTCTCACTTTTGCAGTGCGAACTGTAGCGAGTGTTTGAACGAACATACTAGAGTTAAGCTACAACATAATAAAGAAATTATTATGTTTATTCAGTTTTATTAAATGGTTTTATCGATGTGTAATCTTTAAAAGCGCCTGTTTGATACCCGCGGCACTGTGAGTACTCCTGCAAGCGATGTTCACTGAACAACTGAAAACAAACGGCACGGCGATTAAAATTACAAGAGAGACTACCAACAATCAGTAAAAGAAATATAATTCGGTGAAACATGTGCAGAGACAACATTTTTCATTGACCAAGACAAGTATTAAAGTATCCCTAAAAATCCTGAGTCTTCAAGCTTAACCTGAAAGCTCAAGTTTATGTTTTAAGCCGGCTTCCCGATATTTACTTTTTTCAAAGATGAACTCGAGGCAAGAAAATCGCTCAAAGCTTTCTTTTACAGCCAGAATTATAAGTAAATGTTTTTTGGAACGTTTTCTTTCTATTTGCAGTGAGAAAATATCTAAAGGCTTTTTAAAGTTCTGAAAGCTTATATCAAACCTGATTCTTGGTCATATCAAATTGTCTCAAATCTGACAAACGTGCACAAACTACATAGCCGCATAAACTGCGCTCGACTTCATTAAATTAGATAAAAAAAAAAAAAAACATCAAACACAATAATTACTGAGGCTTACCATTCGACATGTAGCTCCTGAAAGGTATCAAGGAAGGCCAGTATCGCTTCAGACTTTTCAACCCTTACGCATCAAGCAAGGTGAAAAGCGAAATGGATGTATGGCTATGTAGGGCTATGTATAGCTATGTATGGCTATGTAGGGCTGTGTATGGCTATGTATGGCTACGTAGGGCTATGTAGGGTTATGTAGGGCTATGTAGGGCTATATATGGCTATGTAGGGCTATGTATGGCTATGTATGGCTATGTATGGCTATGTATGGCTATGTATGGCTATGTATGGCTATGTAGGGCTATGTAGGGCTATGTAGGGCTGTGTATGGCTATGTATGGTTATGTAGGGCTATGTATGGCTATGTATGGCTATGTATGGCTATGTATGGCTATGTACGGCTATGTATGGCTATGTAGGGCTATGTAGGGCTATGTATGGCTATGTATGGCTATGTAAAGTTATGCCATATATTAACTAACGGGGAACCACTATATGATGCTTACACCACGTACCTACCCAAATAAATCACGTCAACTTGATGAGTTGACACATGAGCCCCCGATATGGCAATGTGACACTGGTCAGTGGCTATCCTGTTTTGACAGCTGTCAATTGACCATATTGTGAATGGCCAATATAAAAGATATGGGTTTGACAAGACACACCTGAGACACCCCTCCCTTCCTTTTGATAGTCTCCCCTACCCTACCCGTACAATCTGTAGACGCGTACGTACGTACGTACGTACGTACGCTCGGTCAGTCACGTGACAACCAAATGAGAAGAGGTTGACCATATTCTATGAGTATGGGGCTCTGTCCCACGCGCGCTTCGCGCGCGAGGGAGCCCCGCTATAATCTGATACCAAATATATCAGTGTCACTTTGCCTACACCGCAGGCAAGCACCTACAAGCTTGGTCCCTTACTTAAAATTATGCGGTCTTTTGACTCAATCAAGCGTATCCTCAACCAGCTACTGATTGAAGCTTAACGGAAGGAAACCTTTCCATAGGACTTTTTACACTGTTCTTAGTCCTAGTTCGGTATCGTTCAATGAGTTATCTCTCTTTGAAGCTTTTCAAAGATTTGCTGCCATATGTTCACCTTTGATTATAGAACCGCACTCGACCTGTATTCAAGCATATCATTCTGATTACAGCGTAACTGAGCCAATAAACTAAACATTACTGATCATTCTCACTCGTTCTAAGTCGCGAAAGGTGATCTTTATCCTGCGAACGTAGAAGCTGAGGACTAGAAGCCTTTATTGTGACCCATTCCCGATAATACTTTAGTCGAGTCCTACAAGTCGAACCTAGTAACTAATATATGATGCACGCCTTGGAAGTTCGAGTGATCAAAGTCAACTGTTGATTTATTTTTGTTACATCTTTAATGAGAAGACTTATGATGAGCCTGATGGAGCCTGTTTCAGTCCGGAGAGGGCACAAATAAGCTAAAAGAATAACGGGAGCGAGAAAAAAGCGACACGTAGAACAAGGACTGGAGAGCTCAAAAGTTTTTCATCATGCGCATCACACCGATTTTTAACGTAGAAGCTGCCGGAATTTGTCTGCGCCAAGTTGTTTACAAGATCACAAAAGAATAAAATTGTCAACATGTATATTTTTTTCTCTTATCATATTGAAACCACCAACAAACTGTAACCTCGCCAAATCGGATAATGGCAGTATCCTTCAAGACTTCGGATAGTACTTAGCTTTAACAGTTCTACTCAAGTTTTTTAGCAAATGAAATCTATAACCATAGTTATTAAACTATGAAACAACTAAATATTTTAACGCAAAGACTGAATTCGAAACTTAAGGTGGAACGCTTAGACAGTTACTATCTCATTCTGTTAATGTGAGTTGATATGCAAGTGTGTGTTTAGAGGTCCGTTTAGCTTAATGTTAATTAAACCAGAGAAGTGTGAAGACACAAGCCTTAGCCTGTTGAAATTGATTTTTAATGTGTTTTGATACAGTTTTCTGAGATCATACCGATATTTTTAAATGTGCCGGATTTTATCGTTGTCCGATCGCCAAAAAAAATATTCACCCCTAGTTGACCTTGCATGAATTGAAGTTTGTCAAAATATAGCTATAGTTTTAAGTAAAATCGATATCACCATGACAACGACAAACACAAATCTCAAAAAATACGATTTTTTCGACAACTAGACCTTCCATCGAAAATTCAACATTAGGATCTTAAAGTGTTACGTGTTTGGCAAATCATTTCTCTTCCTCAGGGACCCAGGGGCGGTCAGACGGAGGCGATCGAACGTTTTCAAAAACTGGCGAGAGAGCCCCTAGGAAACTACCTCTTAACGAACCAGTTCCAAGACCTATTCGTTCCGCAAGGATCCGTTCTAGGACCTCTGTTGTTTTTAATCTATATTAATGACTTCCCTGCTTGTCCTCTATATTCTGTGCCAAGAATGTTTGCAGACGACACAAGTTTTACTATAAGCTCGTGTGATCCAGCTCATATGCAATCTAAATTGCGACTTAGCTGAAACTGGTTTTAAGCAAACAAGTTGAGTCTAAATGTGAAAAAAGCATTTATTATTGGTAGCCATAACAGGCTGGGCAATCCAAATCATCGGTTTGATATAAAGATAGATGAACACTTTCTGGAAAGAGCTAAACCTTATATGCACCTTAGTGTTGATCTGGATGAGAGCCTACCGAGGGACTCCCATTTACACAATGTTGTCAAAAAGTATCTGCTGGCCTTGGGGCTATCATACGTGTTAGAAACCTGTTTCCCCGTGAGGTGACTCTAATTATGATCTATAACGCTTTTATCCAACCATGATTTGATTATTGTTCCTCCGTTTGGGGCAGCTTATAGGTGTGTGTCAATCTGAAAGACTCCAAAAACTTAAAAATAGGCCACACGCTTAAAAACTCTCGCTGACCTAAATGTTAAAACTGCGGCTATCCTTGGTGACCTTGACTGGGAATGTCTGGAGCAAAGACGGTCGACTGAATTAAGCAACTAGCAACCGTTCTGTTAAAGTCTCTTCATAATATGGCTCCGATTTATCTAAACAGAATTTTAAAACCCACATCCAGTATTCACGCATATAATCTAAGAAATTCAAAATGCAACCTGTTTGTTCCTATACCGTATAGTGTTGAGATGAGTAAGGGTAGTTTTCAATATTGCGGGTCTGTTCTGCGGAATTTCCACTGATTTCTGTCAATTCCAGGAAGTTATTTGGAGCCCATGGTTAAGAGGTGAGGGTGGTTAGTCCTGAGGAGAGAGGTTGTTATTTTTACACTAAAAGTATCAGGGCTTTAAGCAAATTAAGTTTTGAAAGATTGCCTGCAATGTGCTGGACTTGACTTAAGATTTCAGGCAACCCGGTTTTCAAAACTCCAGGTAGATATGTGTATATAATAATGTGTCAAACCTTCGTCGACATTGGTTCACTGCCAAACCCTCAAATTCTAAGCCAAACCTACCCTTGATCAGGTAAAATAAAATCTGCGTTGCGTTGATCCTGGCCTGTTTGTAGGCTAGGTTCGGCTTAGAATTTGAGGGAGGTATAGTTAATCAATGTTGATGAAAGTTTGACACATTATTATAATCTGATTATCATACACATCATCGTCATCATCATTATCATCACATTATGAATTTAAAAAAAAGATTATATCGAGCCGTTCCAGAGATAAACGAAAAAGCGTGGGAAAACCAAGGTCTTGCAAAAAGTTGCACTACTAAGAATGTTGTTTAGAAAGAAGGGTTTGATTCCAGGATCGCAAACAAGGACATGCAGCAAAGTTTGCTGGCATAGAGATATAAGCAGCGTTGTGATGAACCTCTTAGCAATTTGAGTTGGAATTTGTTTATCCGTTCACTTGTCTCGACTTTTAAAAATATAATGTTTGAAATATACTTGCGTTTTATTTAAATTCAAACATAGAGAATTTCGTTATTCTCACGGAAATTATTTGCAAAATGCCACACCTTAAGTTTTTGATGTTGCAAGTTCAATGACAGGCCTAGAGGTCGCGAAAGACTTGCTTATCGTTGTCATGAAGATATGGATTATTTTATTTAAAACTGCATTTTGACAAAGTTCAATCCAAGTTCATTTTTTAGTAACAATTTCATGGCGATCGGGAAAGGATAAAATAACCCTAAGGCATTTGAAAAACTTCATTATGGTCTCCTAACTAAAAAACTGTATGAAAACACCTTCACACTGGAACCTANTAGTTGGGTACTTTGGAAAGTCGATCATATTAGGAGAGGCTGAGGAGAGGTGGAGTCGACAGTTTGGTGGCTGGGGGAGGGGGGGGGCGCGGGGGGGGGGAGAGGCCTGATCGCGAGTGGCGAGGGCACAATCCTTGTAGGGGGGTATTCTCCCCCAGGAAATTTTCAAATTTGGAGGCGCCGAAACGCTATTTTTAGCACTTTCAAGAGATATGTATCCGAAAAATAGACCTCGATTAAGTGTGAAAGGCAGGTGTTTTCGGTTCTTACAAGTGCTTATTTTCTAGGTCCTGTTTATTTGAAACACACCGTATATTCAAGTACTAGTACACTAAACATTTCACAATACTGCATGATGTAGTAGATTAATTACTTATAATTAGACGGTACAGGATGCCGAATAGTGCTAACGAAAGGATGTACTGCTATTTAGATGGAATTCCTGTTAGTCAGTGATGTGGCAAGGATGGGGATGATGTTGATGACGATGATGATGGTGATGATGCTGATGCTGATGAATATGTTCACGTTGACGCAGCTGGAGATGGTGCCAGTGTTAATATTCATTATGCTAGTGATAATGTTTTTTCTTAAAATGAGGAAGGAAATTCCACAGGTATGTGTTCCACAATTCAATTCAAGTCTGATCCTGGTAGATTTTCTGAATTGCCTCTGATTAGACTGTTTAGGATGCCGTGAAGTGCTAACAAAAGGATACTCTCATTTAGATGGATTTCAGAGTTCTGGCAATTATTGCAACTGTGATGGTGATTATTGTGACGTTGTTCCTGAAGATGACGACGACGATGAAGATGACACAGATAATGTTGGTGGTGATGATGACTATGGCGATGCTCCTGATGATAGATTTTTATTTTAGAAAGGAGGAAAGGCAAAAGGTATGTGTTTACAATTTTTAATTTATTCGCATATCTGATTAATAGGTTTTCCAAAGAAAAGACCTAATGGATTGATAATTAATCAATTATGAAAATGTATCTAGTAACCAAAGGGGCTAAATCTTTGGTAAGGAATTCCAGGTTAGCGCTTTTTAATATCTAAAGTATCGGCGAACTCGAAAATTCAAACGATAGAAAGAGTGTGTCGCCCATAACGGGGTTCAAAAAAATCCTTCTTATCCGTCAGTCAGACTAATTATTTGACATCAGCATGGATACGTAGAGTACTTTAACAATGATTATGATGATTATGTCATCCATTTTTTTTTCAGTCCAAGAAGTCCATTATCTTTTGTTATGTAGCTGTAAATTGTTTCCCAACAGTGCGCTCTCTGATTGGTCACTTATTATCACAGTTTGTCACATTCTTATAATCTGATTATCATACACATCATAATCATAATCATCATCATAACATTATGAATTTAATTCTATCGAGCCCTTCCGGAGATAAATGAAAAAGTGTAGGAAAACCAAGATCTCGCAAAAGTTGCACTACTAGGAATGTTGTTGAGAAAAAAGGGTTTGATTCCAGGATCGCAAACAAGGACATACAGCAAAGTTTCCTGGCATAGAGATATAAGCAGCATTGTGATGAACCTCTTGGCAATTTGAGTTGGAATTTGTTTATCCGTTCATTTGTCTCGACTTTTAAAAATATAATGTTTGAAATATACTTGCGTTTTATTTAAATTCAAACATAGCGAATTTCGTTATTCTCACGGAAATTATTTGCAAAATGCCACACCTTAAGTTTTTGATGTTGCAAGTTCAATGACAGGCCTAGAGGTCGCGAAAGATTTGTTTATCGTTGTCGAGATGATATGGATTATTTTATTTAAAACTGCATTTTGACAAAGTTCAATCCAAGTTCATTTTTTAGTAACAATTTCATGGCGATCGGGAAAGGATAAAATAACCCTAAGGCATTTGAAAAACTTCATTATGGTCTCCTAACTAAAACACTGTATGGAAACACCTTCACACTGGAACCTAAATATACAACCATCGCAAACAGGTGCGATGTGGTCATCTTTGTCGTGGTGTTTAACAATATTCTACAGGCCAGAGTTTTAGCGTAGTCAGGGCTTTGGCTAGGTTTTTTGTACCCGGGGGGGCATGATCGCTAGTGGTGAAGGCACAAGCCGTGTAGGGGGTCTGGGGGTATCCTCCCCCAGAAAATTTTCAAATTTGGAGGCTCCGAAACGCTATTTTTAGCATTTTCAAGAGATATGTATCCGAAAAATAGACCTCGAATAAGTGTGAAAAGGCAGGTATTTTCGGTTCTTACAAGTGCTTATTTCCAAGGTCCTGTTAATTTGAAACACACCGTATATTCAAGTACTAGTACACTAAACATTACACAATACTGCATGATGTAGTAAATTAATCACTTATAATTAGACGGTACAGGATGCCGAGTAGTGCTAACGAAAGGATTTACTGCTATTTAGGTGGAATTCCTCTCAGTCAGTGATGTGGCAAAGATGGGGATGATGTTGATGACGATGATAATAGTGATGATGCTGATGCTGATGAATATGTTCACGTTGACGCAGCTGGAGATGGTGCCAGTGTTAATATTCATTATGCTAGTGATAATATTTTTTCTTAAAATGAGGAAGGAAATTCCACAGGTATGTATTTTACAATTCAATTCAAGTCTGATCCTGGTAGACTTTCTGAATTGCCTCTGATTAGACTGTTTAGGATGCCGTGAAGTGCTAACAAAAGGATACTCTCATTTAGATGGATTTCAAAGTTCTGGCAATTATTGCAACTGTCATGGTGATTACTGTGACTTTGTTGCTGAAGATGACGACCACGATGAAGATGACAGAGATAATGTTGGTGATGATGATGATGATGGGGATGCTCCTGATGATAGATTTTTATTTTATAATGGAGGAAAGGCAACAGGTATGTGTTTACAATTTTTAATTATTCGCATGTCTGATTTATAGGTTTTCCAAAGGAAAGACCTAAAGGATTGATAATTAATCAATTATGAAGATGTATCTAGTAACTAAAGGGGCTAAATCTTTGTTGAGTAATGTCAGCTTAGCGCTTATCAATATCTAAACTATCGTCGATCTCCAAAATTCAAATGATGGAAAGAGTGTGTTACCCATACCAGGGTTAAAAAAATCCTTCTTATCCGTCAGTCAGACTAATTGTTTGACTGTGAGCATGGATATGTAGAGTACTTCGACAAACTAAGGATTATATCATCCTTTTTTGGGGTTTTCCTTTTTTTTCCAGTACAAGAAGTCCATTATTTTTTGTTATATAGCTGGACATTGTTTCCAACAGTGCACTCTCACATTGGTCACTTCGAGATCACATGCCGTCTGACAATTTTTAAGGTCCCTTGGATATGAATGAGAGCCTGTTCTTGTTGTTTGATGTTAACAGGAACAAGTAGAGGAGATGCAAAAGAGAAGTTTCTGGAACTTATTATCTTAAGTGACTTTCTATTATTTATACTGAATACGATCGTTAATGTTAATGATAGCAACAAAGTTTTGAAAACAGAAATGTTGTTTTCTGACTTTTTTCTGTCCCGCTGATGACCCGGTGACACATAAACTGATCTTATTATGTGCAAAAGGCACCAGAGCAGTACCCGGCAACAGAAAGCGTCCGTCATAGAGCTGCTTGAATTGTAGACAACTCAACGAATAATTTGTAATTCTAATATTAACAAGATTTCTGTGTTGGGATAAGGAAATTCTGTTGTCACGGACCCAAAAGGAGGTCAAGTTAAACATTACTACCAAAGAAAAAAGCTGTGACTCTTAGCATTGGATCTGTCCCAAAGAACGTCTGATGGCTCAAAGAAATCAGCATCTTTCATTTAAGTACATGGAATTTGTACTTACGTGACATCACTTTTGTAACTGACGTTTCAGTTGCAACTGTTGATACTATTAAGCTCGTGTTTAAACCGGTCTTTCTGAAACAGTTTCATTTCCTGAAACCTTTGGATATCTTTACGACAATTTTGAATAGGCGAAAAAGGTAACATTGAGGGGCGCGAACGAGGATGTCGACAAAGTCTCTACTGAGGTAGTAAAAACTTTTCACAACGCAGGTGGAAAACCTACTCGCGGTTTCTCACTAACCATTCAAGATAAAACATTTAGTGCTTTGAACTGCACCCAAGACTTTGGAAACAGAGTGAAGGAATCGCTTAAAAGAAATACGAATTCGAATTCATGAAAAGTCAAATTGTCCCATGTCAAATACTTTCATGCCTTTGTTAGCACTCTCAACATGTCTCTCCCATCGGTGCAAACAAAGACAAAAGAAGATGAAGTTGGAATGGGGGTGGACTAGATAGAAAACTTTCGACCTCAGTGTTTGACAACGAACTTAAGAAGCGAATCATCTCCGGACAAAGCGGGATCTTTACCACCAACGTCATGGGACTATGTCATGCGATTTGCTATATTTTTACAAAGCTGAAACTTTTTTTGCATCAATTGAATTCCAAAATAATGGTCCTGTTTTGTTATTTAAGACTATTTTGGCATTGATATTGTTTCCCGTCGTCTGTTGTAATGGATTGCAACTGATTGAAACTTAGGCCAACAACAAGATATAGGACACATACAGTAATTTCAACCAGATAAGTACGTGACTGATTCAGATAATGAAAGTAACGGAGAAGGTGACTTTAAAGTAGTTTATGGCAGGACATGCCGTGACCAGTTCAAGAAGATCAGTGCGAGATCATTACCGGTGCGTCTGGATCTATGAGGCCGGTGTCATATTGATGATTATACGATTTGGATCTAATTTGTACTAACGGCAAAAGTCGGTAAATAGGGGTCTTAATAGCTATCGCTCATCCATTTTTGCTACTTCGGTTAGATAATTATGTTATTTTCCATATTTTCAGTTACTTATAATTATAAATTGTACTAATGGCGGAGTTTATGTGAATTCATGTAAATTTATGCCTTGATTTTAGTGGGGCCTACCCCCAAAAGTGATTGACGTGTTGAAGTAAAGAAAATTGGAGTCATTACAGAATAATATTTGCTGTAGGAAAGAGAAAGTTAATAGCTAACCAAAATTAGTAGTTAAATGAGAATTGGCTACCCCCATTAGCACCCTCTTTCTTAGGCAACTGAAAAACTTCGGTATTGTGTCCGAAAAGAAAAACTGTATCGAAACACCTTAACAAGAAACCCATGATATGCAATTATCGCAAAGAGTCACGATGTTTGCTGCAGTGTTTAACATTATTCTACAGGCAAACGTTTAAACTTAGTACATTAATTCAGGATTAATTGCCCTTGATCAGACGGTACAGGATGCCAAACGTGCTAACGAAAGGATACTCTCATTTAGATGGGTCTCTTCAGCGATATGACAAAGTCTGCGATGATATTGACGATGTTGATGGTGGGGATAATGATGATGATGATGATAGTGATGAATTTGACGACGTGGATGATGCTGGTGATGATAATCACGATTCTCATGATCATAATTTTGTTACTAACAAGCAGTAACCTGCAGGTATGTGTTTTACAGTTTAATTTAATTTAAGTCTGAGCCTAGTAGACTAGTAGTAATCAAAAATTATTTTGCCTCGCCTTAGGGCGTTAGACACATAACCAGGTTGCATAAATGATTTTAGGACATGAACTCCCTCTCAAAACAAAGACGTAGGCGTTAAACATGCGCGCGCTGACTTTGAGAGGTTGAAATAAATTTAAATTCCACATTCTGTTCAGCTAGGTCTAGCATTTTCCGTTGTCTGAATATAATTTTGCACTGGAATAACGTAAGTCCTCTACTAAGCCCTCTCTTTCTAATAACCTCCCAGCTTTTCGGGGGAAGAAAATTATTAAGCCCCATCGTCTCTTTTAAGCCCCCCTCCACTCCCTCATTATTCTTCGCCGTCAAA